GTCATGCCAAAAATTAACTAGTTGACAATGAAAAAAAATAATACATTTAAAAAAGGCTCCATGATGTATCAAGCCTGCCTAATTGTTTAAAAATATTTGGAACTTATTGCTAGCGTTTTTGCTCGAAAAAAAAAATTTAGAGCTTATTTTAGTGGAAAATACTTGGATAAAGTATTGTAAAAAAAAGAATTTCATTATTTCATAAAAATTTTTTCTCCTTTCATCTCTTAATTCTTCTTGATGACATCTTGCATCTCCAGGTATTTACAGCTCTCTCACTTGTTGGCTTTCAATTTACCCTTTGAAGTAAATGTTGCAAATTACATAAAAAATTATAATATAAACAAAGTTAATCCATCTGAACATGAAAGCATGACAAGAGGATGTTTATGGTATAAATAAGTTTTTTTAGTTGTACGATATCATATACGTTACTCCAATTAACCGTATCAAGCATCAAGTACGTTGGGCAACAGCTTTTTGACAAATGTAGGAAACTTATTGGTTATTTGGCTTATATTATTAAATAACAATAAGCACAACTCAAAAGATTTGGTTTTAATATCGTAATAACACTTTTTGACAATGTAAATCAATATGAAGCACGTTTTCTACTACTCTATTTTCCTGTCTGCTGACTTCTAACATTATGCTAACTTTCGAGGAGCAAAGTTGATGTGTCACATATGCAATACATTATTGTTTATTATTAAATTAATTATAAATTTTGTCATAATGAAGCTCAATAAGCATATTAGAAACTTATTTTAACATTGCAAGGCCCAAGATTATTAAAATATAAGATAAAAACTTATTTATCATGAAAAACATGAGATTAATAGTTATTATTCAAAAAACGTTTGTTCAAGCGTACAATAATCATCAAAAGCCCTGGTTAAAGTATTGTTTAATTGGCTTTTTTTTTACTTTTTTTGCAATTTTCAATTTTATGGTGGTGGGGTCCGAAATAACGACAGTTTACTTCAATTTTGCAGTAAAACTATGAATGTTCATTTCAGTGACGTGTATTTTGACGAGGATAGCTCAGCGCAGCAATTATTTATTATTTCGACAGCTAATCACGAAGCAGTGTAAGAAGAAAGTCAAAGTCAACTGCCTTATGATTGGCTGTCCAAACACTGAACAGTCGCTGCACTGAGCAATTGTTGTCGTCGAAAAACACGTCACTAAAATGAACATTTATAGTTTTACTGCAAAATTAAAGTGAACTGTCGTTATTTCGGACCCCTCCCCCTTTTGAGGCTAATATTACGCCACAATCAGTTGTCTGCAGCAGCTGACATAAATACTGAATAAGTATGTAAATCCGTTAATATAAGGGTCACTGAATGTTCCCCACCCTCCTGTAGCAGTTATTCTGCTAGACGGTACCTTTTCACTGGACTTTTTGTACCTAGCCATACATTTTATAGTGAAAAAGTTGTGATATTGAACCCTTCTAACCTAACGCTGCTTTAATGATAAAATATTTTGTAACCTCTACACTATGTGCCTACGGGGCAAAACTGCAATAATTAATCCCATGAGAGATCGAAGAAGCAGGCAAAAAGTACTTTACTTGATGTGCACCAAAGGGCCCTTAATTCTTAGTCAAAAATAAATAAAATAGACATTAATATTTTATTTAGTTAGACATAACTATTTATGCTTACAAATAGACTGATTTTAAATGACTATCGAGATCTTCGTCTTACCCAGAAAGAATTAACGATTCTTTAGGGTGCAGCAAAATAATATGTTGGACATTATTTTGCTAAGCTTAGTACGTTATTGCCAGTAGAACAGCATTAATACCCTATCTGCCAGGTTGTATTTAGATTGTTTGTTTAACATATTCACGAGAATCATTTCTGAAATTTTTCCAAACAAATTGAAAGCTTGCATCATTGACTAAATTGCATATAATATTATGTTTAGTTCTTAATCATGTAGATTAAAGATTGCTATAAGCTTACATTGCAAACAAGCTCCATTAATCCTTTTTAAATGTTCAGCAAACATCCATGTAATAATTTGTAAATTACCATACGAAAAATTTTCATGCATGACTTTAAGGTCACTATAGCTCCCAACATGCAACTTGAAAAAAGTTGATTTATAATGCTTATATTAACATAAGTCATTAAAACTTTGATAAATGACGTCATTTAAAAATGTGTTTTCTTCATCTAAGTACAGTTCTAGTAGAGTCACTATTATGTTATGATCGGAGTACTTGATTCCTAAGATTCCTCAGTTCAAAATCAAAACAAATTCATTTAAGCATAGCTTAGTCATTATAAAATCAGAAAGAAAATAATTATCATTTATTAGTTTCAATAATCAAAAAGGATTAAAGTTGTCAAAAATGCAGTGAAACCGTTGTTCAGCATCTTAATTTTATTGTATTTGATAGGACTCAGTTCATCTCAACCACAAATCTTTTTCTTTTAACCTTAACTTTAAACCTTCAAGACACTATTTTGAAAACCACTTTTATAAAAGGTTTTCTTTCTAATTTTACAATTAAACTTTTTGTAAAACTTGGTACAGTAGTACAATTACTTTGTAACAATCCTTTCACAATGTGGGGTGATTCATAATACTTTAAAAAGATTCAACATTATTTTTTGCAAATTCAGAGAAAGTAGCTTTGCATTAATGAGTGTTTGCGGTAGCAGAATTTTAAATATTTTTAACAGTCAGAATTTTGAACAATTTTAGTCACACATTTTTTATTAATAAATATTTCAACTTTAAAATAAAGCTTGTCAAGAGAACATAAATTACGGTTTGTTTTTTACTGATGTACAAATCTGTTATAGAAAATATTAAAAAATTAACACAGCTTTCTTACTCTATTAATAGCTTTTGTTAAAAGTTTAACTACTTTTTCTGAATTTTAAGATTATCGTTCAAGCTCCTTTAAGGAGGTTCAGACGTTTTTGAGGAGATTTGTTAATACTTGCTGCAAAAAAAAGAATGTTGTACCTTAACATGCTGAAAGTACAAATGAATTATTTCAAATATCTTATCAGCCGAATTTTCAAGACAAAATCTCCCAAAATTGCATAATTTAATCTTGCTCTTGTGAGCGAGAGTGATTATTTAGCCTTTGCTATACGAATTTTAAGAATAGAAATTTATTCATAGTGAGAAAGAAGTTTAAGTAGATAGCTTAAGGATGTTCAGTCATCTTTGAGGAGATTTATTTACTCGCTGAAAAGAATAAATGTTGTACCTTAACATGCTAGAAGTACATATGAATTTTTTCAATATTTTTTATTAGCCGAAGTTTCAAGAAAAATATTCCCAAAATCGCATGATTAAATATAACTCTTACGGACGAGAGCAATTATTAAACCTTTGTTGCACAAATTTTTAGACTAGAGATTTATTCATGATGAGAAAAAAGTTCAAATGGATAGACATAGATTAACATGGAGTTTGTTAAACTGGAAATTATGATCTGAAACTTGGCTCAGCCTTTCTCAAGACTTCAAACTATAATGTTGTATAAAAAAAGTTTGTTTTTCGAAAATTCACAACACACTTTTGTTGACGAAGGTTGAGTCTCCTCATACTTTTTTTAGGTCAATTTTTATCATGCAAACAACATGTTCTCGAGTTTTATAATTGAACTATCGGAAACAAACTGCTTTAAGGTAGGTACCGTAATTTTTTTATAACATTTAATGGTTTAACTTTCAACCACTGACGACTTGAACGCAGTTACATTAACCGTGATGCAGTAGGCGGACGTTTTCGTGCACGGTTAGTACAACTCACTCTAACACGGTTATTTCTTTACTCTTCATATTGATTTTACCACGGAAACACTTAAACTCACTCCTTCGTATTTTCTGTGTGAAAAATAAAAATCAATTAACTTAGTAGGTCAAATTTCTATTTACAATTTTAATTATTAAAATTGAAGGACTACTTAGTTTTACAAAAGAATTTTTTTTTCTTCTATACAAAAATAATTTGGCATTTATAAGAAAAAGACCCCAATATTTATATATTAGTTTTTATGGGTCATTATACGATAATGTAAAAGGAACTTACAAAAATTTTAAGACACCTCATAAAAGTGGTGATTAAAATTTTTTTTTAGTAGTAAGAGAAGCAAGAAAAGGTTTTATATATGTAATAAGCTTTGATTTGTAGATGGTACCATCAATTTCCCTTTTTAACTAGCTTGTATTAGTTACAGCTTATAGAACTACATGGGTGCTTCCTATATAGAGATGGTATGTTTTTTGTTGTTACTCTACACGGATATCATAATTATCAGAGTAGTTAATATTATTTATTTCAATATAAAAACAAAATTTTTAGCTTTAGTTTGTTATTTACGACATTTTTTATCACAAACGTTGAGAACAGTCTTAGTACTCTATCTAATAGGCTTTGTTCCGAAATATACATACAATGCAAACTAAAATTCAGCATTTAAAGTAAACACAAAAAAAAGCAATGGTCATAAAGTCTTTAGTAGTTTTTCATTACAAGATACTGTAAATATTGGTGCAAAAAAGAAGATGCATCTTCATATAGATCAGTCTGCATGTATTATTATTTCTTATTTTTTTCATAATCACATACATTCCTTGAAGGCTAGCTTATTGTTTTCAACAAATATAAATACCTTATCACAAGTTTATATTAAAAAACAAGCTTTTTATTAATCATGATGATTAAGGAGCCAGTGAAAGTAGTACATAGGTATCTAATCACAAGTTGTATTAACGAATATTTTTTATTTTTTTGTTGTTAGCATAACAATATTAAATAACAATGAGCTTTTTATTTCCTTACATTTTAACTTATTAGGAAAGCTACGTTAACTACATGCAGATATTATTTGAAAACGTTAACTTGACGTTTTTATCATATTTAATGGTACTTAAGAATGAGTATTAGTACAAAACCGTATTTTAAAGTTAAAACATAACCTTCACTAAAAAATTAAGAATATTAAGACCGTACAATATTACCTCTCTTGCCATCACGGCATATCCCTATAGAGGAGGGAGTGCCTTTCAGTCCTTACCATGGTACTGCTAACAAATAGATTTTACTAATTAGTTTACTAAAAAAGTGCATTGTCGTTGCAAATCAGATTCTTGTTCCTAATACTTCTAGTTTCTAGAGTAATGAATTAATTTTTTTAAGAAAATAACAATGAACTACTTAAGTATTTGAAGAAACTTCATTATATTTCATATGTTTTCACTGAATTATTTTAAAATTTCTTATTTTTATAAGTTTACGGGTATAGGATCAGTTTTGACTTAGGATTTCACTTGCTCTTACTGCGGCGACTCCTAGTTTCACATCGATCCTCTTTGAGAGATAAACAGAGAAAGAGATAGAGAAAGTTGGAAAGAGATAAACAGATAATGTGAGAGAGACACATGTGCTCTTGTCGAAAGAAAAAAAGTCAAGTAAGGTAAGTTAATGAAAAAAAAGAAGAAAAAAAGTTTTTATCCAAAACTTAGACAATAGTTTAAAGTGCACAAAGAGAATGAAGGTAGAATATGCACTTTGTTTTTTAAAAATTTTGAAAAAACCTTACAAATTATTTATTAGACTTTTAAAAGACTTATTTACCTTAACTTTAAACCTTCAAGACACTATTTTGAAAACCACTTTTATAAAAGGTTTTCTTTCTAATTTTACAATTAAACTTTTTGTAAAACTTGGTACAGTAGTACAATTACTTTGTAACAATCCTTTCACAATGTGGGGTGATTCATAATACTTTAAAAAGATTCAACATTATTTTTTGCAAATTCAGAGAAAGTAGCTTTGCATTAATGAGTGTTTGCGGTAGCAGAATTTTAAATATTTTTAACAGTCAGAATTTTGAACAATTTTAGTCACACATTTTTTATTAATAAATATTTCAACTTTAAAATAAAGCTTGTCAAGAGAACATAAATTACGGTTTGTTTTTTACTGATGTACAAATCTGTTATAGAAAATATTAAAAAATTAACACAGNTTAAATCAAATATAAGTTATTAACTACAATGTGAGAAAAGTAAGAATTAAGTACAACCAGTTTATTCTCTCCTCACCGTGACGTACAAAAACGTAAATAACGTCACATGACCTATACTCACTCATACGAGTTACAAAGTTGACTGTTATGTATTTGGCTATGTAGATAAAAATTTTCTCTTTTCATAGAAATCTTATGCAAATAAAAATTTTAGGCAGCTCATATGGAATAAAAGGCAAACTGAGTAAAAGAAGTGTGTAACTCTTAACCTCTCAAGTAGGTGTCTCAAAGCCTAAAAATTCATGACACATTTCGCGAAATTAAAACAGAAAATACTAATAAGCTGCGTTTAATATAAATCAATGCTGTATTTCTTTTCAAATTAACAATAAATGTTGATGTACCAATAGTAATCATCACAGCTTATATCATAGTATCTGGCAACACTTTTCAGTAAAGAGGACCCGTAACTTTGACCCCTGAGGTCTTTATTGCCTGGAAATAAAAATGAACATTTTACCGTGTGGTAATGTTTAAGCATTTTAATCTGTTCGATACTTTTAAATAAATTTTTACTGAAAAATTATTTATTTGCTATTTCTACTGCATTGTTTTTAGCGTATTTCAAAAAATTAGATATAAATAATCAGAAAATTCTTAACAAATTTACGTATCGTAAGAAAAAGTTGTATCTAAAGATCAGAAATGTTAGTTTTCATACTTCGAGCTATAAATTATGTTTTAAAACATAACTTTAATTTCTTTGTATTAAAAGTTGGTTTCGGCTATCACAATACTTTATTTTATAATAATTCTTAAATAGCGTTTGAACAATAATATGCCAATTTCAATAGAAACATTAATATTATTTTTTACAGTACTCTAACTAAAACGAATTTACTACTTTCATTTAGAGATAAAAAAGCTACATTTTTATTGTGTATTGACTTGTATTTGTTGTTAGAAAAATTGTTTAGGCACCAAAGACAGAAAATACGGCATTTCCTTCTAGGTGGCCACTCACATCCAGAAAATTATTCTTTCCAGAACCAGTAAGGTAAATGTACCAAACGTTGGCCATTTCAGATGACCAATTTCTAAAGTACTCCATAAATATTAAAAAAAAGTAAAATTTCAAGTCCTTATAGGTATTGTTTTGAAGTTATAACACTATTTTAAGCTGTACCAAAACAAAATAATTTTTTGCATACACAGAAAGATTGTGGCCAGTCTTTGGGACCAATGTTTTGGTGGCCAAGCATTGGTACCTTACACTTTTTTTTTCTCCACCGTGAATACGATGTTTTTTCATGATTTTAGGGAGAAAAATGCCACGCAACCTCTCAGATAACAATTATATTTACTGCAAAATAGAAGAAGTGTTTTGGCCTTCTCTGCAAGGACATTGACTCCCGACCCGAAGGTGAGGGAGGCTACCACGCTAAAGATAGCACAACAGTTTTTCTAAGAGCAGTACATCCAATTTTTTCCCTAGAAGGAGTTGTAAGGGAGAATAAGATAAAAGTACTTTGACATAATCTACGGACTTGCTACTCACACCTAGGACTTAATAGGCATCTTCTATGCAGGTTATACCAAAATTGTTTTTGAGTAAGCAGATGAGAGTACAAATTATACCCTATCTGGGAGTTTTTATGCTGCTCTCTTGACAACAAAATCACAAAAAAAAAATACATTTCGATTGAGAAAGGTGAAAAATCATACACACTACCCGAAACATTGAAGTATAGCATTGACTCTCAGTGGTTTTTGTTTCTTGTGATTCGCTTAGGTGGCAGTTATACACCGAGTAAAAAAGACTGCATTCATCCCCTGTAACATAATAAATCATAGTTTCTATATGCATATTGTACGTAATTTCTGTTAATTCTTCGAAATATCAATGTTCGGACACTGATTTAGTAATTTTAGAGTAAAAACTGTTTCATTCAATTAAAATTAATTGTTTTCTTAGTATTCAATTTAATTTTTTTTTTCTGACATTCTAGTAATAACTAAGTACTACAGCACTGCTTATGTATTGTTTGTAAGCCGAAGTCAAAAGTATGAAAGATTTTTTTTTCTTATAACTATATGCATGTACTTAACACAATTATTCGAAGAAACTAGATTCTACATAGATATTGTACATAAACATTTTGTTAACTGTTTGAAAATAAACATTATACAAATAAAAACCAGAGGAGAATGAATAATGCTCTCTTAGCATAAAATCATACTATTCTAGCAGAAAATACAGCAATCACTTACATAATTTGTGGAACAATACTTGTAAAAACCTACTACCATGTATTGAAAGTGGTCTCAGATTTGGTAGTAAGGTGTTATTTCGAAGAGTATTTTAGTATTCAATAAATAAATAATAAAACAACCATATTATTCAGGTAAAAAAAGTATAGAAGTGCTGCCAGACTATGGCCATTATGAGACTGCCTGGTTTCATTAATTCTTTAACTATTAAAAAACAACTTTCGAAGCTGATAAACCACTTAAAGTCGTGTTTGCACCTGTCTCATATGCTTATTTAAAAAACTGACTCTTAGTCTTGTATATAACAACTATTTTTTTATAACTAAAAATAGTATTTTAAAAAACATTCTGTGTTGATTCTGACTCTGCTTGGGGAAGTAGTACATACAAGTAAATAAAGGTTAAATAAAAATATTACTTTATTTGCAAATAAAAAAAATTAAATGAGTGAGATGTGATTTAAATCTTACAATACATTCATAGAAGTTGGTATAAAAAACCAAAAAGGAAAGAGGAAATAACGCAAGACTTTGCTCAAAAAACTGTAAAGAAAAGTTAAAAAACCTAAGATCCAAATAACCAAATACTAATTTACTTTAAAAATTAACGATTATACAAATAAAATACGTATGATGTAATACGAAAAAGATTTTACTTTTAAAACATTCTTCAATGGACGATTAATGAAAATATTTATTCAAATAGATAATTCCTTAATAAGACATCCAATATATTGAATACTGAAAAAAAAAGATAGTTAATAGCCAGTGAATGATGCTTTAAATCAAATATAAGTTATTAACTACAATGTGAGAAAAGTAAGAATTAAGTACAACCAGTTTATTCTCTCCTCACCGTGACGTACAAAAACGTAAATAACGTCACATGACCTATACTCACTCATACGAGTTACAAAGTTGACTGTTATGTATTTGGCTACGTAATATTAACGTTCGACAAAATGTACAGTTGGAGGATGGAGAGAAAAAGAGAAATGTAAAATTTACTTTCGTCACATATTTCTGAAGATCAAAATTTTAGAATCGTTAGTTTTACTCTTTCACAAACGTTACCTTTATAAGTATGAATTTGATAACAATGAAGATGTTGTCATGGTGACAACGATTTTAAACAGAATAAATCCTTATTCATTCATTTTTACCTATAATTTATTTATTACAACTATTACTAGTAAATTCAGTTATTACTTTATTGCTGATAATTTATTAAATACATGAAAACATATTGCCTGCAGAGTGATACAATTGTGGCTGTTGGATTTAGTATACGGTCAATAGCTTATAACATAAACGTTTGTATTAATGTTGACGTTATATAATACACTAATGTTACTCAAAAACTATTATAATTAGTTGAAATTTTTTTAAAGTAGCGAACTCAAATACAATGACCAAAGACATTTTGGAATGTACCTTGTTTGCGTTTAGGCCTAAAAATTTAACTTTTGCATTATAGGTAAGAAAGCAGCTGTATTTCGTTAGTCAGACTACGTGTGTATGTGTAACCACTTTATTTAGTAATCAGGTCTCAGAGCTTACATCCCTAACTTTAAGCCAACGAAATTTTTTAGGATTTACATTTCTCCTAAAAAAAAGTTTTGCATTAATCCCTTTCATAATTTTGTAGTTGTTTCAAATCTAATGAAAAAATGATAAACAGATCGGAATGAGAACTATTATTTTTTTAAAAAGTTTTATGATTAGAGAAGTCTAACTTTTTAGCAATCGCTCACATCTTAACAGTGATAATTAAATTAAAATTTTTAAAGCTCTTATTTTGAAAGTACGTTAAAAATTAATTAACAATACACGTAAGTAGTAACTAAAAAATATACATTAGAAAGCTTTAAGCTAAGAACGTATCAGAAGTGTCTAAACCTTGCAGCTTTCTATTTAAATTTAACGTCCCCGAAAATATTACGTATTGTTGTGTAACACTGCTTCTTGACCTGAAACGAAAAGAAGCGCCGACGCAGCATTAGCAAATCTCAATCACATTCGT